TGAAATGGGCGTGAAACCTGGGAGGCGGGCTTGCAGTTGGCTGGAGCTTCGGCACTGCCACTCCAGGCCTGGCAACAGAGCGAGACTCCGTCTCAAAAAAAAAAAAAAAAAAAAAAAAAAAAAAGAATGACCACTAAGAAACTGCTTGGGAACTCTTAACACATGGTGAGACATGTCAACTTTGGGGTACACTGTGGGCTATGCTGAGCCATTTTGTGGGGGTAATGTCTTTATCTTTATGGATTTGTGTGTGTGTGTGTTTGTGGACTAGTTACAGTCTCCAGAAAAGAATCTTCAGTCTGCTTGTACGGGTAAGACAGACTGCTAGCATTCTGGGAGATGAGTGGCAAAGTGTGTTTGGAGTCTCATATGCAGTATATAATTCCATCTTCAAACTATGCCTGGAGTCCCTCTGTCTGCAGACTTTCCATTTTACTCTTTCTTTCTTTTTTTTTTCTTTTCTTTTGAGACAGAGTCTTGCTCTGTCGCCCAGGCTGGAGTGCAGTGTGTAATCTCGGCTCCGTGCAACTCATGCCTCGGGTTCAGGGAGGTGGTGGTGGCCCATGGCTGTAATCCCAGCGCTTGGGACCGAGGCAGGATGGGTTACCTGGTCAGGAGGTTGGAGACGGCCTGGCACATTGGTGAACCCCGTCTTACTAAAAATACAAATATGCCAGGACGATGGAGTGGGTGCCTGGTCATCCAGTACCTTGGGAGGCTGAGGGTAGGAGGAATTGCTTGAACGCTGGAGGTGGAAGTTCTGCAGTAAGCCAAGTTGCGCATGGCCCTCAGCCTCGCGAGCAGCTTGGACTACGGGCACCCGCACCGTCCGGGCAAATTTTTTTTTTTTTTGTATTTTGGTAGAGCGGGGTGTTTCACTGTGTTAGGCAGGATGTCTTCAATCTCCTGACCTCATGATCCGCCCACCTCGGCCTCCCAAAGTGCTGGGATTACAGGCGTGAGCCACCGTGCCCGGCCTTCCATTTTACTCTTTCTAAAGGATAAACTTCCAGTCTCAGGTAGGGGAGGGTCACTTGACTGCCATGTGGAGTTAAGTGGGGATCTGAAGTCTAATTGCTTCTTAAACTTGAGGCCATCCTACAGAGTAATTGTTCAGACTTGTTTTGTTGAGACAGCCCCAGATATCACCATCTGTAGGTTTTTTCTCCCTGAATGATCTGTTTTCCCCCAGGGACTGGTCACCTTCCTGTGGGTATAGAGCTTCTTGCCAGTCTTATGGAAGCTGAGTAGGGAAGGGCCTGGAGGGGAATTCACGGTATAAACTCATTTACCCTCCTGGCTCTGTGCTCAGCTGTACATGACATACTGGACTATCCTGGGTCATCCGCCACAAAAAGTGAAACTTTCATTATCTGCCGGGGTAGGAGATGGTATCTAGGAGTTTCACTGCTTCTTATTCAGACTTTGAGCCAGCCCTGCCTTTTCAGCACCACCCATACTCCTGACTTTCATAGGTATATGTTGCCTCCACTTCTGAGCCTTTCTGCTTTGTGAGGTCCTGTAGCTTCTTTTTTTTTTGAAACAGAGTTTCACTCTTGTCTCCCAGGCTCGAGTGCAGTGGCGCAATCTTGGCTTACTGCAACCTCCACCTCCCAGGTTCAAGCAATTCTCCTACTTCAGCCTCCCAAGTAGCTGAGATTACAGGCACCCATCATCATGCCTGGCTAATTATTTTTGTATTTTTAGTAGAGATGGGGTTTCACCATGTTGGCTAGGCTGGTCTCGAACTCCTGACCTCAGGTAATCCATCTGCCTCGGCCTCCCAAAGTGCTGGGATTACAGGCATGGGCCACCACGCCTGGCCCTGTATTCTCATTTGTGAAATGAAGGACAGGGAAGGGAGAGGAGACCAAATACCACTTAAGACTGATTCTATATTGACTTAATTATAATTTGCTCATAGCAAAATAATTTGTTTTGTACAGCAAATTTTTTTTTTTTGAGACGGAGTCTCGCTCTGTTGCCCAGGCTGGAGTGCAGTGGCGCGATCTCAACTCACTGCAAGCTCCGCCTCCGGGGTTCACGCCATTCTCCTGCCTCAGCCTGCCGAGTAGCTGGGACTACAGGCTGTACAGCAAATTTTTAAAAGAAAGAGCAGGTACTTTTGCTCTGTATAGTCATGTGCCAGTAGATATTTAGTAAATACATATGATGTCAACATCTCAAGAGGGAGGCCAGGCTCCTTTGTTACCAGTCAAAGACTCTCTGGGTAGCCATGCAAGGACAGCACTTTATCAAATGCTCTCACCCATTGATGGTTCTGGATCTCAAGTGAATATAAGAAAAAAGAACCAACACAAGCATACACACATATACTGCAGAAACACACTCTAGAGACAGTAGATGGAAATGAATGACAGTTAAAACCAAATGATAACTTCCCCTCAGGATTTAATAAGATCTAATATTAGTGAAGGCTCTTTAGTCTAGAAAGAAAGGCACCAGCCACTGCAGGTAGAGTGGAAGAAGCACTAGACCGAATCAGAAGCCAATATTCTAATTTCAACTTGCTAACAATTTACTCAGAAGTGCTGTATTATCTTTCTGTGTACACGTTTTCTCTGGGGAAAAAAAAAAATGGAGGACTGAACACATGTTTACCTCAGTTCCCTCTCCAAATCACACTGAGGTTACAGAAATCACTTTTTTTTTTTTTTTTTTTTTTTTGAGACGGAGTTTCCCTTTTGTCGCCCAGGCTGGAGTGCTGTGGCACGATCGCAGCTCAGTGCAACCTCTGCCTCCCGGGTTCAAGCAGTTCTCCTGCCTCAGCCTACCCAGTAGCTGGGATTATAGGAGTGAGGATTACAGGGCTCAAGCAATCCTCCCACCTTGGCTTCCCAGAGTGCTGGGATTGCAGGTGTGAGTCACTGTGCTTGGTCTAAAATGACTCTTAAGTTTATTTTTCTTAGAGGCAGGTGTATAGCAAATGGCTTCTTGTTAGAGTACTCATGTCCTCCCTCCTCTCAGTTTTCATTGTGATGAAAACCTTGGTCAGGTAAGATTTCATTGTGTCTAATAGTCTAAATTGAAGTATATGTACTCTTTTTTTTTTTCAATTTTCTACCCTAATTACTGTGAATATGTCTTCATGACCTTATTTTTAGATAGAAATATAACTTCCTTCTCTTCTTTACAGCTGCATCCAGATCTCATTATGCATCAGGAAAATGAAAAAACAGAGGAAAATTCTATGGAGGAAAGGAATCCACTTAGCCTTTTCTGAGAAATGGAACACTGGGTTTGGAGGCTTTAAGAAGTTTTATTTTCACCAACACTTGTGCATTCTGAAAGCTAAGCTGGGAAGGCCAATTACTAGGAATAGACAGTTGAGACATTTCCAGGGTGGAAAGAAAGCCCTTCAGATCCAGAAAACATGGGTCAAGGATGAACCCCCTTGTGCTAAGACCAAGTTCAGTGTGGATACTCCACATGCTAGCACTCTGTCCTCTCCAGTGAAAAGAAAGGACACTAAACACTTCGTTTCCTCCTCAAGGACTCTCCTGAGACTCCAAGCAGAGAAGTTGTTGTCATCAGCAAAGAATTCTGACCATGAATACTGCAGAGAGAAAAATCTCTTGAAGACAGTTACTGACTTTCCATCCAATAGTGCTTTAGGTCAGGCCAATGGTCACAGACCTAGGACAGACCCACAGGCTTCTGACTTTCCCATGAAGTTCAATGGGGAGAGCCAAAGTCCAGGGGAGAGTGGCGCGATTGTGGTCACCTTGAGCAACCACAAGAGAAAGGGCTTTTGTTACGGCTGCTGCCAAGGGCCGGAGCACCACAGGAATGGGGGACCCTTGATTCCAAAGCAGTTCCAACTTAACCGACATAGAAGAATCAAATTATCTCCTCTTATGATGTATGAGAAATTATCCATGATTAGATTTCGGTACAGGATTCTCAGATCCCAGCACTTCAGAACCAAAAGCAAAGTTTGCAAGCTAAGAAAAGCCCAGCGAAGCTGGGTACAGAAGGTCACTGGGGACCATCAAGAGACCCTTAGGGAGAACGGTGAGGGTGGCAGTGGCAGCCCATTTCCTTCCCCAGAACCTAAAGACCCTTCTTGTCGGCATCAGCCGTACTTTCCAGATATGGACAGCAATGCTGTGGTGAAGGGGACGAACTCTCATGTGCCTGATGGCCACACTAAAGGAAGCCCTTTCTTGGGCAAAGAGCTTAGTTTAGACGAAGCATTCCCTGACCAACAGAATGGCAGTGCCACACACGCCTGGGACCAGTCATCTTGTGCTTCTCCTAAGTGGGAGTGTACAGAGCTGATTCATGACATCCCCTTACCAGAACATCATTCTAATACCATGTTCGTTTCAGAAACTGAAAAAGAAATTATGACTCTGGGTCAGGAAAATCGGACAAGTTCTCTTAGTGATGACGGAGTAAAACTGTCCGTGTCTGGAGCAGATACATCTGTGAGTAGTGTAGATGGGCCTGTGTCCCAAAAGGCTGTTCACAGTGAGAACTCATACCAGATGGAGGAGGATGGATCTCTCAAGCAGAACATTCTTAGTTCTGAGTTGCTGGACCACCCTTACTGTAAAAGTCCACTGGAGGCTCCCCTGGTGTGCAGTGGACTCAAACTAGAAAATCAAGTAGGAGGTGGAAAGGACAGTCAGAAAGCCTCTCCAGTGGATGATGAACAGCTGTCAGTCTGTCTGTCTGGTATGCACTTTTCCCTTATTCTTCCCCAGACTCCAAGCTCACACTTGCTGTCCATTATCCTTGCTAATAAGAGTCCTACTTTTTTCTCCCACACATGGATTTTTCTTTAAACCAGTTAGTCTTCTTGAAGCCTTTTATATTACTGCGTTGTGTAGATGTTCCATAATTTAATCCTCGTGGACAGTTGCATTGATTCCATGTTTTTCGTAATCTTAGAGTGCGATGAAATTATTTCTTTACATTTATACATTTGTTTCTGTAAGCTAAATTCTCATTATTAGAATTGATGGTGAAGTAATATTCACACTTAAAATTTTAAGAGAATTGAGTTAACCTCCAAAAAGTTGAACTGGTTTACACTTGTTAAGCTTTGCCAGTCTTATAGATCACAGAGTTTTGTTTTGATTTGCATTTTTGAGTTTTAAGTTTGAACATCTTTTTCTGTGTTTATTGGCCACTTTTTTGTGTGTCCATGGTTTTCCTTTGCCTATTTTCCTTTTTTTGAGATGGACTCTTACTCTGTCGCCCAGGCTGGAGTGCAGTGGTGCGATCTTGGCTCACCACAACCTCTGCCTCCCAGGTTCAAGTGATTCTCCTGTCCCAGCCCCCCGAGTAGTTGGGATTACAGGTGCCAACCACCCTGCCTGGGCTTAATTTTTGTATTTTTATAGAGGATTGGGGTTTACCATGTTGGCCAGGCTGCGTCTCGAACTCGCTTGACTCCAGGTGATCCACCCACCGCTGGCTCTCCCAAGAGAAGTGCTGAGATTACCAGCAGTGAGAAACTGTCCCAGGCCCTTTGGCCTATTTTCAATTGGCATTGTGTTTCTGTTTGTTTTCGTTGTTTAGTATAGGAGGACGCTCTAGTGTACCAGGGCACGTGTACACCCTAAGAAGGGCAGCAATGAACAGGAATGATATGGACCTTCAGGACCTTGGTATCGATCTCTAGTCATAAAAATGTTTTAACATAATTGCTGAGTTATATAATGTCGTAAAGAAGTGGTTCCCTCATGAAGAGTACCCCAGAAGACTGTTTGGTTTATTTTTGCTTAATAGAGAGTTTCAGTTCTTACGATAGTAAAACTGATAATCTCTCTTTTTTTTATATTTTATTTTTTGGAGAATTGGAGTCTTGCTCCGTCAGAACCCAGGCTGGAGTGCAGTGATGTTGATCTCGGGTCACTGCACCTCTGCCGTCCTGGTTCAAGCAGATTCTCCTGCTGCCTCAGCCTCCCCAAGTAGCTGGGACTACTCGAGCACCGACGTGGCCATACTGGGCGGTAATTTTGTTGTGTGGATATTTGGTAGAGCACGGGAGTTTGCAACCATGGGTTGCGCCAGGCTGGGGCTCTCGAGACGCCTGAGCCAGGCAATCTGGCTGCCTCATCCAGTCTGCCCCAAAGTGCTAGGATTACAGGTGTGAAGCCACTGGCGGCCCAGTCGCAAAAAAACTTACCTGGTTTGTTGGAGCTGTGTTTGAGCTTCGCCAGGTTTGTTTTTGTGTTTTTTTTTTGTTTTTTTTGGAGACAGAGTTGCGTCCCTCTGGGCGTCGCCCGAGGCCCTGGGGAGTATCAGTGGCCAGGATCTCAGCTCACTGCAAGCTCCGCCTCCCGGTTCATGCCATGTCTGTCCGGCTCAGGGCCTCCCGAGTTAGCTGGACTTCACAGGGCGCCTTGCCACCTCGCCCAGCCTAGTCTTTCTTGTTATTTTTGTAGTTAGAACGTGTTCACCCGTGTTCGCGCAGATGTCGTTCGAGTGCTCCTGACCGTCGGTCGATCCGCCCGTCGCGCGCGCGCCTCGCCAAAGTGCTGGGCATTAGCCCAGGCTGAGCCCAGCTGCAGCCCGGCCAGAGCCTTCCGCGATTTTTATTCGATGCTGTTAAGAGCCTTCTCTTGTCAAAAATCTATGGCCCATGAAGAGGTAAATTTTATAAAAGCATTGTTTTGGAAGACAATGTTGAATTGATATAGGTATAATTGTGGCCGTCACTCAGCGAGGTATTTGGCTGATGCAGCTTTTGGTAAAGAATATAGAGTCTGTATTTGTTAATACTGAGAGAGATTTCGTATATAGAGCCGGGTAAAATGACGAAACAGAGGGCCGGGCCGGGGTGTCTCGCAAGGGCCTGTAATCCGTGCAGCAGCTTTGGAGGCCGAGACGGGCGCGCGATCACGGAGGTCAGGAGATCGGAGACCATCCTGGGGCTAAACGCGGTGAAACCCCGTCCTCTTACTAAAAAATGTACAAAACAACAATAGCGGGCGAGCGGTGGCGGGCGCCTGTAGTCCCAGCTACTCTGGAGACTGAGGCAGAGAGAATGGCGTGAACCCGGGAGGCGGAGGCGTTGCAGTGAGCTGAGACTCCCGCCACTGGCACTCAGCGCTGGGCGACAGAGCGAGCTGCCCGTCTCAAAAAAAACAAAAAGAGTGAAAACAGGCCAGGCACAGTGGCTCATGCCTGTAATCCCAGCACTTTGGGAGGCTGAGGCAGGCAGATCACCTGAGGTCTGGAGTTCAAGACCAGGCTGGTCAACATGGTGAAACCCTGTCTCTACTAAAAACACAAAAATTTGCCGGGTGTGGCGGTGCGTGTCTGTGAACCCAGCTACTTGGGAGGCTGAGGCAGGAGAACCACTTGAACCCAGGAGGCGGAGCTTACAGTGAGCTGAGGGCATACCACTGCGCTCCAGCCTGGGCAACAGAGTGAGACTCCGTCTCAAAAAAAAAAAAAGTGCAAACAGTAAGTTGCAAAATGGTATGAAACTATTTTGTTAAAAGATATATGTGACATATGTAGGATGAGTATGTGTATATATGTGTGCATATGCATTTGTATAGGACACCTGGACATTATTATAGCTGGCTTTGGGGAGCTAGTTAGGAGGTTTATTTCTTGGTGGTTTAAACAGTTCTGAGCACTTTCTCTTTCCAACCATTAAATATAATAAATTCTTCCGGCTGGGCGCAGTAGCTCACGCCTGTAATCCCGACACTTTGGGAGGCCGAGGCGGGCGAATCACAAGGTCAGGAGATCAAGACCATCCTGGCTAACACAGTGAAACCCTGTCTCTACTAAAAACGCAAAAAGTTAGCTGGGGTTGGTGGTGGGCACCTGTAGTCCCAGCTACTGAGGAGGCTGAGGCAGGAGAATGGTGTGAACCCAGGAGGCGGAGCTCACATTGAGCCATGATTGCACCACTGCACTCCAGCCCCCCGAGTAGCTGGCATTACAAGCGCCCACCACCACACCCGGCTAATTTTGTATTTTTAGTAGAGATGGGCGACAGAGCGAGACTCCGTCTCAAATAAATAATAAATTAATTATTCTTCCTCACAAAAAGACACAAAGTACAGAGTCCTAGCCAACTAAAAAACAAACAAACAAAAAAAACTCTTGTCTATACCTTCCTAAAATAAAGTCAGATTTCCCTACTGAGGTTAGCTGACCCATGATACTTAAACGTGAAAAAAATTAGCATTTACCCACAAATGCCAATTAACCTTTATAGATGTAACACTTTCAAGTACAATTGATAAATTGGATATGCACATAGTAAAACCTGTAGCACGATCTGAGGAAGTAGGAATTCTTACAGAATTCACATTTAGTGACAATGTAATTCACTATTTTAATAGGCTAAAGGAAAAAATAATGGTATCTCAGCAAGTGCTGAAAAGCCTGTTAGTAAAATTATTTCCCTTTGTGTTTAATCTCTTAGAAAACTAGTAATAAAGGAAGCTTCCTTCAGTTACTAAAGAATATCAATCAGAAGCCAATAGCAGTTCCAGGTTTAAGAGAATGAAGTAAGCTCATGGAATCTCTTCTTCCTCCTACCAAATCCATAGAAATTATGAAAAATATATTAAAAACACATGTCTTCCTACTAACAAACAAGGAGGAGAGAGTTCTGGTGGATCAGAAACTGAGAATCAGCTTCCACTGGGCAAATAGTAGAGGGAAGGTCCAGGTGGGCAGGAGGAAGATTAGTACAGGGAAGTGGTGTGATACTGAGTGCTCATATTTCTGGAGATGGTGGAAGTGGAGAGGAAAGGGGACACCCATGGTAAAGACTGAGTAGTTGGGGAATCTCTCCCTGCCTGTGCCATATATCAGCAAAGAATAAACTTGTTATCAAGCCACAATTCTAAGAACTAGAGACCGGATACTCACCCACACATGTACACCTTGTAACACTTGGCAAGAGTGAGGAACATCCATTTTCAGAACAGCTGCTGGGGTTCTTAGTGTCCTTATTCCCACTGAAAATAGTTCAAGGCAGAGCAGCAGCTACTGCCCATGATAGCCCTTTGCCCTCAATACTCAGCAAGTTACCTAAGTAGAGATGAACTCACAGTCTATCACCATCATCTGAGAAAAGCCAACACAGTGAAATAGACAAATTCAACAAATAACAGAACCAAACCTCAGTAGTGATTAATGGGGCAGTGATACTCCTTTAACTGACTTCTACAACATTAGCCACTATTGAGTTCTATGGTGTGCTGAATGCTGGCTTGTCTCTAATATGACTGCACACTACGCTCCTTTCAGTTGATCTACATGTTTAAGAGTCAATTATACTTCGGGTAAATTTACTTGTTGCAGTTTCATAATTTTATTCAGTGTTACATAAACTGATGAAATATGAGTGTAAGAAGAAAGCTCCCTTGAAAACCAAGTTGAATGCTTTGTAATCACAGTAGCGGGTTGCTGCAAAAAAAATTAATACTGAGTTATGCTTATGCAAGACAACTGTAAAAGATTTGAGGGAGTGTACGAAAGTCTAGAACTCTGTACTGAGATTACTTTGCAAGTTCTTCAAGTTCTTGCTTCACTTTAAAGTTCTAACCTCTATGTCATGAGTATGCCAGAAGGTAATGGAAGGGAAACTGAAGAACTTAGGGATGTTTTCTAGAACTGAAAAGAAAGGTCTGAGTCTAAAGTTGAAAGGCTTTCTAAATGCCAATCAGGATTAAAACACAAATACATACACAAAC